CCCCCCCCCGCCCCCTCCCGTCCGCACGGTCCTACATCAGAGCTAGGCGGTCTCGAAGTGCATCCCGCAACAAGTCCCCGTCCACGTTCGTGCTCCGCCGCCGCCCGCCCGTGCCGTTCCCCACAATGCCCAAGTCTACTCTGCGCCGAACGCCATTCTCATCCACCTCCCACAAAAGGTTCTCATCGAAGTGGATCCCCGCGTCGAGGAGGATCTTGTGGAGAGTGCACGCCACGACGAATTGTTGTGGCAAGGTCTCCAGGTTCGTCTTGTGGGTGCGGAAGAACAGATGCCACATGCACTTCAGTCGCCCGAATGCCCTCTCGACACACCCCCGTGCCACCTTCTGCCACGTGTCGAAGCGCTCCTCGTCAGGACCTTGCTCGATTCCTCCGTACGGCTGCACGATCCATGGACAGGCAACTGGATAACCGTTGTCGCCTAGCAGGTAACCTCGCGTGACGACACCGTGCGCCAGATTCTCCGGAGGTGCGTCGAACAGCTCGCCAGCTTCTGCGCGCCTCCATACCTAGGAATTGTACAGGACACGGATGTCGTACACACTTCCCGGGTATAAGATGTGGACGTCGAGGATCCGCAGATCCAAATCCACCACCACCTGTGCCTGCACAGAGAACTTCTGTTTGCGGCCGTAGTAGTTGTCCGAAGGTGCGCCGTTGGGCTTGTCAATGTAGATGTGTGTACAGTCGATTGCGCCGAAGCAGTTCGGGAAACCCTTGTCACGGAAAGTGCGCAGAATCTGCGCACGTCTACGGCCCACTGGCCACTTTATCGCATCGGGGTACGCCTGCAGCAGCGCCGAAGTGATGTCGCGGACGGCCTGCAGTCTAGTTGCCCTGCCGATGCCGAAGGCTGACGTGCCGCTCTCGTACGTCTCTCCTGACGCCCACCTGTACAACGCGAAAACGATCACCTGCTCCACTGGCAATGACATCCTATAGTGTGTGACCTTCTTCTCCATGTACGCGGCGCACGAGGCAACGATCTGCCTGAACATGGCCATCGACGTGCACAACTTTTGGCGGTACTACTCGTCCGTCGCGTCATCAAACAGGCGGAGGTCCTCCCATGTTCCGCCAGTCCGTCGTCTAATCCACCAACGCGGGGTCTGCCGCGGGAAAACGCCAGACGACAGCGCGACACACAACTGGACGACTGCCTCACATGTGGCCACGCAATCCGGCGCTTCAGCGATGCTCTGCAACAGCGCTCTCCGTTTACGGAGCTGCGTCAGCATGTCGCGTGAGGACGACGACATACCGCTCATCGTGTTGACGACGACGACTGTCACCGCCATCGCCACCGCGTCGATCTCTTCTTCGCGTAGACCGTGCCCGCAGCTGCGAACGTCCATCTCTGAGAATCCTTCCGCCTCTACAGCGTGAAGCCTGCCACAGCCGCCAAAGACACGCCCGCTGCTAAGGAGACCACGCACGCCGGAGCCGAAGATGCACGCGCTGCTGTACGCTGTCGCAGGAGATGACGTACACCTAAGCCGAAGACGCGCCCGCTGCTCTACGCTTCCACATGACAGCATGGACGACGGAGGTGAAGATGTGCCTTGCAGGAACTTCAAGATGCGCCCGCTGGTCACAACTTGCATGGACTCGGAAGACGGATACCCACGCCGAACGGTTCACCAGCGCCGTCTCTTGTACGTCACACGCGTCGCCTGGCTGTCCTCCGCCCCGTCACCCTTTTTTTTTTTTTTAAACACCCCCCCGGGTGCTAGTGGTGCTGATATGAGCAAACACCGCTACCACCCTGGGAGAGACTACATCTATTGGTGGGGAGCATCACCTGCTGGAAAACGGGTCCAGCGTCCCATGTACAGAATGTAGTCGGGGAACGTCAGAGAACATAAGAAAACCTCAGAGAAGCACTCCTCCCAGCATTGATTACCCTGGAATATAGGGGATTGACTGAGCAGGACATTTGGGAAGACTTGAGAGAGTGATTTTTTAGAACCACAACCAGAGAACATCTGCCAGTCATGACTGCTCTGGGTTCGAGAACCAAAACCGGCGTCCCTAATCTGAAGATGCCATGGCCATCCCGCTGATCCCCATCCTCTTCTGTATCTTGTTCGTCAGGTCAGGGGTCGAGGGGAGCCATTGGGGGGCACCAGTGGGTCCTCCCATCACCCTGCCCTTCCTTGAACGGTCTCCTTGCAGACATGCAGCCATGCAGCCCTCTGCCGGATGTAACCAACTGTCATCCTTCCTTGCTGTATTAGAATATTCGACTCTCCCTTTTTACAATGGCATCCATTGGATTGCATCCAAAGATCCTGCTCTGGTCCATTTCCCATTCTGCAGCCATTGCCCACCACCTCCCGTCTTTCTGGCCATTCATCAAGACACCCCCCCCCATCCGCGGTATGAACAAAAGCAAAAAGGAAAAGGTGGTTTTGACGCCGTGAAAGGCTGTAGTTGGGGTGCGAGGAAAATGAGGGTTTGGATGGGCGGAGGTTTACAAAGGTTTACATACATATATCCATGGAGCCCGGGTGGGGAGGGAAGGGGTTAGGGAAATCCTCTGCAGGTCTCATGGGGATGCTTGAAACGATCGACAACGACTCCTTGAACCTCAGGTGGTAGTCCCGTGGGACATCCTTAACTCGTGTATCCTCCGTTTCTTCTCCACCTTCCCAGTCCCCTGTCCACGATACTTCCGCTACCCATCCTTCCCGATCCCCACCCAGCAACTCCCGGGAGAACTGCAGTAACCGTTCCCTCATGTCCTTGGGTCTGTGGAGCGAATCGAGTACCTGCTTGGTTGACTGCCACCTATGCGCGATTTCCAGTTGGAAGTGCATTTTGAGCAGTTGCACCCTTTCATCCCCTTCTACTTGGACGTGGACCACGTGGTCTAAGGTTAGGACACAGCGTTGCCATCACAAGACCCAAAGGATAGTTCTTCGGGATAGGTGGAACATATTGGACACAAAAGTATTATCTTGGAAGGGGGGGTAGTGACCTATCAGAATGGCCCGCCAATCCCACGGCCACGGTTGCCCTGGGACCATTTGCTGCCGCACCCTATCCCACCACCTCCAGGTCAAGGTTGAGGTAGGACATTGCAGAAAGATATGTTCGATTGTCTCTGCTCTCTTTATAGCTGGAAAAATCAGGAGGCAACGAGAGCACCACGGGAGCGCACGGCCTTGTTGCTCCAGCCGCGAATGGTTAATCAACCAGTTGTTTGTAGGTAAACACCGGTGCAAAATCTGCCATTGTAGGGACGTGATTTTCGCCGGTCTACATTTTAGGTCGCGGAACCAGCGAATCGGTGTGAGAAACCGTCTCTCCACATTGAGATGCCTCTGCCATTTGTCCATCACTGTTTCTTTTAGGCAGCGCTTAGTTTTGAGCATTCGGTACGTCGCCTTCACCGAGAGATTTGACAGTGTTTTGGGTTTCAGTTGACGCAGGTGGTGTTGTGACTCAGGGTGCCAGATCCACTTCAAAGGGTCGATTGGTAGGAAGGCCAAACCTAGCTCAGGAAGGAAAGTCCGTCGATTACCACCTCGACGTTACACTGTACCACTCGAGCAATACTTCGTCCAGGCGATCTAGGTGAACTAAGCCCACCTTATCAACCCTCCCTTCCTTAGCCACCCAGTATCCCTCTTTTAACACCTGGCCTCTATTTAGAATGGTCCACCATCCTATCGGCAGGGCTTCCGTTATTTCCTCGAAGGCCCCTACGACTTCCACATTGCGGTAGTACCTCAAATCCGCCCTCAATTTCTCCAGGTTTTTCCAATCCTTCCTCTCCTCGTCCCAAAGATCACCTACTCTAGTAACTCTGTGTCTTACCCAACCTTTCCATGGGGCGTCTGTACTACAAAAAACTTGGCTTCGTTTGTTGGTGATCCACCTGTTTCCAAAGAGGGGTTGTCTAGCCACCTCCTCCCACCTGTCCGGTGGTGGATGATTTGGGGGCGGGAGTCTCCGCCAGATTTTTAGCATACGGGGCCAAAAATCGTCCTTCCTTCCTTCCCCTCCCCGGGGCCGCTGCGACACTTTCCAATAGCGGTCCTCTAGCCATCGGAGAGGGTGGACGGACTGGGGGACCTCAGGGGTCAGGCGAGCGATTTGTGCTAGTGCCAGCGGCTTCCATACTGATAGGTGTTAAAAAATCAGGCGCACGACCCATTATAAGCTAAGAGCTTGGGATTGGGTGAGAGGGTTGAGAATACCAAGGCCGCCGCTCGCCTTAGGTTGGGTAACTGAGCCTCACGCCACCCGGCTGATGGCAAAAGGACTCTCACTGTCCCCTCTCTAAAGATAGGCTGCCACCTTTCTTTTCAAGGTCTTTAGGGCCCTTGGGCTTAAAGGCCAAAGAATCGATTTGTACCAAAGGGTGGCCAAGACAACGCTATTGATCACAAGGGTTCGGCCAAGGAGTGAGGTGTGTTGGTGGTTCCATTGGGAGAGTTTGGCGCCTGCCGGGGCTGATATCCAGTCGTCATTTTCAGGGGGTTTGCCTGTCGCCGTCATCTTCACCCCCAAGATCCGAATGGGGGATTCAAGGGCCACCCAAGTAATCTAGTGTCCTTCCAGAGGTCAGCCCCTATGAATCCCCCTCGGCGGCGGCCATCCGCGGCCGAATCCGCGGACGCGGCTAGTCCTCTAACCCCGCGGACGCGCGGCTTTGGAGCCACGTGGCGGCCGTGAGGGAGACACTTTCGGACATCTAGAGACGCCACGTGGCGTCGCATCCCCGGCCCCACCCCACCACACAAAAAAAAAACGAAAAAGATCAACTTTTGGATGAGGGGTATGGGCGAAATCGAACGAAATTGGAAAAAAAAAACACCTTTTTTTTTTTTTTTTTT